AGTAGGCTTTCTGGGTGTGAAGCTTCCGAGTCTGGAATTCACACAATGGGAGATAGGAAGGAAGCCTGGGCTAGGACAAAGCAAGCAGGATGCAGGCAGCCCCGTTCCTCTTTGTCTGTCTATCTGGCCACATGTAAAATCGGAATCCTTCGTCTTGGATCTCAGGTGGGGTTTGTGTGTGCATTGGGGGAAAGATAGGGGGCAGACTGTGAGCTGCCAGTCAGGTAGACCTGGTGCCTGCTGCTTTTGGAGCATGTGGTCCCTACATCCCTACCCTGGGCAGCGAGTTTGCCTGAACGCTGCCTTTCCAATTCTTCTTTTTATGGTGACTCGGTCCGGCCCATGTTTGTCTGTGCTGTAGCTCCCTGCCTGGTATCTCATGCTTCTTTCTGCAGACTCCATCCCTGTGATCTTTGGGCGTCGATTATGGCATTTGCTTCCCCATAACCCAGTACAACCAGGGGCCTGGAGACCAGAAGTGCTTTGTAGGTGCACATGTGCCTGGGAGCTTGGGACACCGAGGGTGATTGGTGGCTTCCTGAAGAACGAGGCCCTGGCTCTGGGAGTGTCTGAGGCATTCAGGGGGAGAGAATAGGGTACCTGGAGGTGTGAATCCCATACTGTCTGGTCCTATCACCGAAGGCCAGTGAGTTTTGTAGGCTGTGGGAGTCATGGGTGACGTGTGAGCCGTGGCATGTGGGAGCCACCATTTGATCAGACAGTTTAAGTCAAACTTTGGGGACAGCTGTGGTGGCTTGTTCGGCAGATGTACAGGTTCTGAGCCCTGGTGCTAATACGTGCTGTACGTGAAACACCAAGCTGCCCTTCCGTTTGGACGTGCATGTCTGTTACCAACACCTTCCATGTTGCAGAGGCATCCTTGATGGAGTCGGGAGTCCTGTGGACACCTGGGGGTCCCTCAAGTCCCCTCGATTGGCAGGGGCAGAATCCGTGACTGTTGTCCTTTGATGCAGATGGGTCTCTAGGCAGAGCCCTGAGCCTCCTGGCGGTTCTTGGATGTTGTGAGGTAGGGACCAGATGACAAGGTTGAGGGCATGTGGCCTTGGGGGACATCCAGGTCCAGCTGGTCCTCTACTTACCAGATGTAGGCAGAAGTGGGAGCGGAGGCCGTGCTGTGCTCTGGGTATGACTGCAACTTGGAGGTTTCTTGTTTCTGGTGACTCGGTAAGGGAATTGAGTTGCTGTCTTCATTCTGCTCTATAGGTGAGGAAACTGAGGCACAGAGTTCCCGCTAGGGGTTACTCTGTAGGAGAGTAACCTGCTGACAGGAGCAGGAAGAGCCAGGAGCCATGGCTCCAGGGCAGGGGGCTTGGGGGTGGGCATCAGTGGAGAACTACAGAGGGGAAGGTGGGGTGAGCTGGCCCAGGGTGCTTCAGCTCTGATCATGCGTCCTAGTGTAAGACAGTACTGGGAAAGCACCACCCAACTCTTATGTGGCAGCCTGGGAAATGGAGGCACCCTGAGTCGGTAATGATGCCTGCCCATGATGCAACTCAGGTGTCTTCTCCCCGTCTTCCCTGTCGCCATCCTGCTCAGCCCTGTGACTGGCACCGGGGGGTGCTCAGCATGCTTGTCACACTGATTGAGTGAGTGAATGAATGATTGGATGGATGAATCAATGAATAAATGCCTTCCCAGTTCCCCTTGCTCCTGGGAAAGAGACCCAAGGTCTGTTTTAGTGTAGGGGAGGTCATGGGCTGTAAAAGGCCAAAGACATGAGGCTCACATGGGCTGAGCTCTTGGGAGGTGAAGGACAGGGTAAGGGAAGGAAAGGAGTACCCTGTCAGCCAGGTGTCTGAGGCACCTCCTGGGAGGCAGGTCCACCTGTTGTCCTCAGAGAGCATAGAGCTGAGGGTTAATTGTAGGGGGTCAGAGGTCCCAAGTTTTGAGACCTATGGTTGCCTGGTGGACTTCATGAATGATTACCTGGGCCCATTGGGTGCTGCCAGCCCTCAGGGGTGACAGTTCCAGCCTCTGGTCTGCAGTGGTGCAGGCAGAGCCAGTGCCTGACAATATGAGGGTGCCCACGGAGAGCGGGAGCCTGGGTCAGCGGATCACCGCTATGCCCCACAGGGTTCTATTCAGTCTGAGCCTTGGTGGGGACAGCAGGTGCCTGCCCACTGGAAACACAATATGAGGGTGCCCACGGAGAGCGGGAACCTGGGTCAGCGGATCACCACTATGCCCCACAGGCATTCAGTCTGAGCCTTGGTGGGGACAGCAGCTGCCTGCCCACTGGAAACTCAGGTCTGTTTCCTCACAGTTGTTTCCAGGTCACAGCCCGAGGGCTCCATGACATGCAGGGTGCTGGCACCACCTTAGAAGGTGGCTTCCCTCTCTGGCATTGTGTCCATTTATAGAGTTGGCCTTAGGCTCAGCAGGGGCTAGCACTGGCCTCAGGTGGCGCAGGGCATCGGGGCAGATGATCAGTGGAGGCACCAGGAGTGTGTCCATCTCCCTCTCGGGTCAGCTGCCCCGTGGACCCTTCTCTGTCCACCTTGCCCTACAGAGCACCTGCCACTTGAGGCTCTCCCATGCCCCCCCCCCCACCATGCTGTGCATGGTTTCAAGTAGCCCTTGAGGGAGTAAGCTGGGGAAGCCCTGCCTCCAAGGCAGGTAGGTGGTAACGGGGCAGCTGTCATGGTAGTTTCCTCTGGGAAGGCATGCAGCTGCCGTTAGGTGGCATAGGTATCCTCTCCTCTAAGGTTCCCCCAGACCTCGAGGGCTGAGGTCTCGTGATAGGTTCTGGACGGTTCCCCCATCTGGACCTCTGCCTAGAACGCTGGGTCATTTGTTCCTTCCATAAACAAATGGGAGCTTCTTGGTGCCAGGGCTGGGTGGGAGGTGGGGTGGGGGTGGGGTTGAGTGCTAGGTCCCTCCTCCCATTAGAGATGCCTTCCCCGGGGCTGGGCACATGGCCCAGGGGGAGGGGGGGTGGGAATGACATGAGGTTAGAGTGAATGTTTTGTAAGGGGTTCCACCCTTAGAGCTGTAGGGCACAGGGATGCAAGTACTTTGGGTGACTTCCTAGGGACTGGTGTGGGTGGAGCCTGCTAGGGTCTCTCCTCTTGGCCCCTGAGATGGGCACTCTGGGAGGACTCCAAGAAGGCTCTGGCTGTGGTGTATATATAGACTTCTCCGAAAGGCTTGGGGCCCTGCCAGCTGTAGCAGGTGCCCCCAGGCCTAGCTAGAGGCCCTAGCTGCAGGGGAGGGGGGAGCACTTGGGGCCCTGTTTGCAGTCCTGGCTGGTACAGAATCTCAGAAATTGTTGGGCCTGCTACTGACAAACCCTTTTCCAGCCATAGAAACTGATGAGCCACCAGAGGTGGTTTATCTGCGCCGTCTTTCTCCCAGTCACCTGGGCTGGGGACCAGCAGGATCTCTGTGGGTGGGCAATTCCTCAGGCATGGTCCAACTTCCTGGCTGAGTGACTTGGATGGTTTACTCAATTCCTCTGCTGGATGAGGGTGCCTTGTGGTGGGTACAGGATCTGTGGTGAGGCTGGGAATTGGTGGGGCAGCTGAGATCATGATAATTGTTTGTGTACTGGGTCTATTAGCATGGTATTTTCTGGGAATCTCATATGGCTGCCTGGCTTTCTGGGGCTAGCTGGATGAGTACCTTTCAACCTGGACACGATCAGCCCTATTTACCTGGGTCAGTCAAGAGCGGGGGATGGCAGATTCTGCTGGGCCAGGCTGGCTAATGTGACTGCTCTCTGGTAGTATGGGGTAGGGCATGCCTCTCTTGGCCCAGGTCCAGGCTTCCAGGGCCCATTCCTCTCCCTAGCACCAACTACTGATTGAAGGGCCAGGCCTCTGTCTGGGAGCCAGGCTTGGAGCTGGGTTCCCAGCAAGGCAAGGCCTCTAGGGATTCTGAGAACAGGAGTTCAACAAATTCTGCTCCAGAAGGCTTCCAGGGCGATGCAACCGCTGGGGGTAGGTGTGGACTGACATCTGTCTCCATTCATGTGCTGGAGAGTACAGGGTTCCTGCCTGGGATGCCCCAGGACAAAACCAGGACTCTGTCCTGTGGGTGGAGGCGGTGAAGCCTAGGAGAGGATCCTGCTGGGGAGTGCCCTGGAAGGCTGCAGTTGCCTTGGAGATGAACTCATGTAGAGTTGGCTCCTGTCTGTTGTGTGACTCTGGAGTGTGCCTAGGTTTAGTTCCTCAGTTTCCTCAGCTGTAGGCTGGGGGGAGTGGCTCCTAAGGTGAAGTGAGGACTAATGCCGGGCACACAGTAGCTGCTCAGTAAATCCATGCGAAGCTGGAGATCTGGGAGGGGTCCTCCAGGCCAGTGGCCCTTCTGCATCTGCCTAGCAGGATGCAGAGAGGGGAAGGCAGGCGGATCCGCGGTGGTCCTACCCTTCCTCCTTCCTCTTCCTCTGCTGGCCGCGCCTTTGTTTGCCCGGCCGGCGCGCTATCTTTAGGCAGCAGGTGCGGGAGCCGCTGCGAGTCGGGTCGCC